ACCCGTGTTTGATGCACACGGACGGAGCCTTCTCCGTAGTCATTTCATGCAAGATACATTTCTGAGATCTCGGATCACAGACTGTCATCCGTACAGTGTCCATTGTACAGGAGGCCGAGATGCTAAGATCGATCCACCCAAGCACAGAAGCAAAAGCAAATAACCAGAAACATCGACGCACGCGTGGAGATATCGACTCCATAAATAAGATGACACCATGGATGTATGTGTATGACTGATATCCACCTCGGCGCATACACTTGATGTGCTGTGTGTGCTGTAGTATCCACAATCTCATATTCTAACCGTATACCCCAGTTCTCGGAAGCACTTATCTTGGTATTTACTGTACCTGGTGAGTTAAACCATGTGATTCGTTCTATTCTTATCACATTTGTCTTTCGTCAGTCTTCATTGGACTTCGTAGATCAATCATTTATTTTGAAGATGGTCTAGATGTGGATGAAAGTGGAAGGACAATGATCTATCTACACACCCTGACGGTCCTGCATTTTGGTGACGCCTTTTGTTGATGTAGAGCGAGATATAAGATACGCCCGGTGGGAGGGTGTCGGTATCAATGCAATTACATCATTATCAACACCATCATCAACGGTATCAACAATGTTAGACAGGAGATATTACAAGGGAGTAACATGCTAACTATAACACTCACCCTCTAGATCCGGAGGCTTTTTGAAACGTAGATACCCTAACATCCAATTTGGATTGAATGGCGGATATATTCACCAATCACTGAATATCCAATCAGCCGCATGGTAATCTTACATTTACTATGTTTTGTTTATCTGGAACTCCACGCATGGTAATCTTACATTACCATTCTGTGTTTAGAACTCCATGCATGGCCATCTTACATCACCATACCGCGTTGGGAACCTCATGGTGAGGTCTGTCTCGGTCTGGCCGTCTAGTACATGATTACTATACGAAGTGCTCGTTTATACTCAATATCACCTAAAGAAGCAATCAGTCCCGTTTCCGCACCTCTTTGCACCTATTTGCACCTCTCTGTAAATCTTGAGAGAACTTGAACTACCGTTCTCCACAACAGTGAAGTCATATCGGTACATTCCTCGGTAGGTACCACATACTAGGCAGATAGACTCGGTAGGTAGATAGACAAAAGATGAGATGTTTACCAACCCTCTTAGCACCGGAGGTTCGTGAAACATCGCTCGCAACTCACGATCCAAGCTCCCTAGATCTCTTGTTCATAAAACACAGATCTCGACCAACCTCCCTAGGATCTTCGGAATTACCCAAAGGGGTATGCAACCCCATCTCTGCATATCCGTCTCCCCGAACTATCTAGGTGCCGTTCTCCACCCCGTTCCCGGTACTCCTAAGTGTCATCTCTAAGTATCTTCAAAATTACTTTGATGGGTAGTCAGCTCCGTCATCAACACCTTCCATTTGCCCAGCCGATATCCGAGGGTTCGTGACACACACCGTATCCATACAAACCTCCGAGATCTGCACCTCCTAAAACTAAACGGCTTGCCCTGCTACGAGTCTTTATGTTGCACCATTCACCCTCCTCCTACCTCATCCCTTTGAGCCTGTCCCGTTCCGAATCCATAGGCCTAGCGCATTTGTACAATATTGCGGCAGGTGGGATCAGAGGGTAAATCACTCAATCGGTCGATCCTTTCAGACGAGTTGTACCCCTGTGTTTTTTACCCCATACTATACTGAAACAAAAAGATTGGTCGAGTGGAGATAATTCCGCTCGAGTTGAGATGAGCCGCAGGGTTCATACGGAGCTGCACAAGAAAAGCAGTACCGGGGGGTCTAAATCACAAATTTCGATTTATTTGTCGATCATACATTAACGGTAGGAAGTTTTTTCTCGAAAGAGCGATGATTGCGGTTTTTGTCGATCTTTATTTATGAAGTTCCTAGCTTATATCTATCGGGTTTAAGAAAAAGAAAAAGAAAACAAAAAGAATTGGCTGTAATTCGTTAGTTGATCCAGGTTTGCTGTAACACAGAGATTCTTTCCAGGATGAAGAAGACGGATAGTAGAAGTCGATCTTTCTGTAACGCGTCCCTGAAATCTTCCCCAGAAACGCCACATCGTCATCTTTATTCTCCTGGCCAAGCCATTCATTTCCCAAAAGAGTAGTATCTGTTTCGTAGAAAATTTCTTCATCTCCCATCGTTTTATCGACTCATCTACATGAGATCTACTCATAATATCTAGATATCTAGAAGGATGTAGGTAGCTGACTCTACCCGTCGTTTCCGCTGACGCCACAATTCCTAGTGTGTGGTTCTTGGGTTTGTGTCTATTATTTGATGTTGTCGATCTCTGTCTGTCGTCAATTTCGCTCTACCATGACACTACTTACTAGAAACACCACTGCTACTACTGTAAAGACTAAACGGCACAAACCCTCTGATTTCAGTCAAAGCTCCTCCTTGTTATCCTATTACACATCCGGTGTCTAGAGTCTGAGTACCAAGATCTAGGCGTTAAGTTCAAGTGACTTGGTCCTTTGTGAACCATAGCCCGTAGGGCTCTCGGTGACAGTACATAGTGTACTCGCTAAGAGAGAGAAAATTTGAAAGAAGGACCCCTGACTCGGCCTACCTTCTCTCGTTGCCATTTAAAGTTTCAACCCATTACTCGTCTTAATTTTTGACATTTTTGATGGCTTTGCAATGGGGTTTGACATAGTCGGGTCGGATCGGATGGGTTTCGCTTCGGCTTTTACGGTACTTTTGATAGGGACATGATGATGAAGGCGGAACAGAATTTTCAGCTGCTAGTTACAGCCCGCCCGATATTACTTGTATCTTCTAGACCTTTCGATAAACCGAAATACTATTCCTTTTTTCCCTATTTATTGCTGCTAGTGTGATTCCTTTTTCGTTCTGGATATTCTCTAAAAAATTCTTTTTCACGGAAAAAAAGCTGGGACTTCAATTTATACTTTCTCTTATCTAATACAGGCTGTACAGATGAGAGCTAGCTTCTAAGGCTTAGATACACACTCTTTCAGTCGCGATAATGACAATGAACAAACGAGTCATCAGCGCTGAAACCATCGTCGATAATGTAAGAAGGATTATCGTCCATGCGATCAGATAATGTCGGAAACTAAAATAGTTGAAAGAATTCCCACGTGGAAAGCCTTACAGAGTCACTTGTTAATTCCGCTCCGGGTGTTGCATTTACTAATAATAATTGTAAGTTTATTTGCATTGATTATTGATATCGTGTTGATTTCTCAGATGGAGTGAGTGTTAGATTTCTACGGTGCTTGGTAATAATGTTGTAAAGTGCGATTTCGTTCCCGCTGTTGATATTAGAAATACATACTATACTGCAAGCCAATGTGTTTTGAATTCTACATAGTCGAATTGTAAAACTCAAGAATCCTCTCACAAGCACCGCCTCATCTATTAATCGTGGCTACATACCCATCGTTGTGGTACCATTTCCGCACTCGTTGCCCATTACTCGTAAGATTGTAGGCTTCGATTCGTCACATGAATAGCCGATCTACCTTCTAGTAGAGAATTAGTCCCTTAGTCTGCCAACCACCACTAAGTTTCAAGTCTTCATCGCGGCATGTCGAAAAACCCCTACGCACTGGACCAATTTTGAGAACCCCTCCCCTTTCTCTGCCCGTCCTTCTCCTCCATTTCCAAGCCCGCAGATCACCCGGAACCCGGAAATGTTTTTCCCCTCTCAGAACTTTATCTCTTTAATCCTAAATCGCAAAGCCACGTTTTTCTTCGATTCTGCAAAACTCAAAAAATATTAAGCACCATTCTCAACCGGTAGTGTATGGGCGACGCGGTAGTACCCTCAAGATACCATTTATACTAACCGACCAAGCCCCTTTTGATCCCTGCATCGACTAGATGTAATAAGTCTAATTTTCTAGAAGTATTTGAAGAGAACCAACTGGATGAATATCGGAAATACAATATGGAAATGACGTTAGTACTATATTATACTTTTTCCCTATGCACTTCATCGACGATGGTGTTTGAATGCATGGGTAGACACCGTTAGGTGTGTAACATTTAGATACTAGAAATTGAAAATGGAAACACGGTGTACCGGTACATAGAAGGAGAGAGATGGCGATTCAAACCTGAGCATTTATCGCCTCCAAAAATGTAGACACAGTTAAATTTCAAGAGCCCAGTTTCATTGTTAGTTTACCACATGATTGGGAACATTCCGCACAGATATCGTATTAAGCCAACACCAGCCCTAACCCTCTGCAATCCAACAGTAGTGTGATTTAGCACAATGTACCGATCACTTGGTAGTCTAACACCTACTAAGTCTCAAGAATTCTGTTTAGATAGGGTGGTTATACTTCGGATTGCAGATCTTTTCGTTGGAGGGGTAAATTTGGCTCTTCGGAATGTTTCCACCGGAGTCTGATGTGATATGGTGTGATCGGGGTTTGATAGATAATTGAAATTTTCAGAGACCGCTGTTGAATGAGTAAGGTGTTTGCTGTATTGAACATCTCGTATGTGTGCAGTGACTGAGTTGATATTGTTTGGAAAATGACCAAGGCCCTCTGGATGTCTTGTGAAGAATGGCGGGGTAATTTAAGGTTAGAACGGTTTGTCATGTATTAGTACCAGGGCGAGTTTCATTGTCAAGATATCACCGTTCCCGTCAAGTAAATGATACAATTTCAAAGATATCGAGAAGAAGATATGTATTTATCTCTAGCAAACTAAATAAATGTACAAATGAAGACAATCCAAATTCAATGAGGAATCTAAGTCTGCCCTACCCTTCCACTCCATGTCGTAACCCTGGTACCTGCAAACTCCAATGTCCCAATGAAAAGGAAAGAAAAAAAAAGCACACAATCAAAACAAATCTAGTCCTGTTGTGTATCCTAGAACTGGGTATAAAGCAGCCAATTTAACACATGTAACTCCGTCTATGCCGCCTGTACGTCGACACGTGTTTAAAAAAATCCCAGATCCATTACCTAACGCCTTCCTTCACTGTGTGTTTCCTGAGAGTGTGCATTCTGTACCGTCGATGAATCTTTTTTTTCTAAGAATTGTGCTCGTCAACGGATTGTTTCTTGCGATTCGAAAGCTATGACATACCCATAGTCATAGGTACAGCGTAAGTCGACATAGGTCTGAATGCGACGGTTTGGTCCCAGATTGGACCAGCTGACCCGGGAAACGTCCAGTCTTGTGTATAGGTGTTTTGGAATCCAGAATTTTGCTGAAGTGATATATCATGAGGTGGCGACATTTGTGGAATAGATCCCATGGACTGAATGGGCATCGAAAGAGGATACATGGGTTGAGACATATGTTGAATAGGAGTCATTGATTGATGACTTGGATATGGAGGAGAGACGGCTCCTGTGTTTTGTGGTGATCCGGTTCGAGATGCCGAATGATGTGAATATAATGATGCAGGAGACCCTGTGAGCTCAGGGGAATCTATAAGTTGATTTGATTCCATTGGGTTGTATATAGGTAGAAGTCCAGGTGCTTGTTGTAAACTTGGCTGAGAAACGATGGGGAATTGGTATCCGGTTGTAGAGCGATCCATTTCCATTCCTTCCAACATACCTTCAGCAGGGAAGCCTTGCGATGACCCTAGACTTCGCTTCTCTGGTGCGATGTTCTCTAGGGGTTGTGTTTGGCGAGGTGAGAGTACTTCTTCCGTATCAGGATCGATATCATGCTTCAACAATAACGCTCTCAGCTCCTCGTTTCGTTTTATCAACTCATCGAAACGTCTTTGCTGGCTCTCTAGCTTTTGGATTTTCTGTTCCATTTCGGTCTTTTCCTTCCTTGCCTTTTCTCTGATATTTCTTTGGGCGTTGCGGTCATTTTCTCTCTTTTTTGCTAGAGCAGTTTCGTTCATGTTTGCTACGCTTCTTCTGCTCTTGGTAGCTGATGATTCGTGTTAGATATTGGGTGACTGAGGGTGGATTGGGCTGTTTTATGAAAATATTTACATACATTGAGCTTTAGTTACTCCATTCATTGTCTTGAATTCCGGCTTGGTGACAACGGAGGGTGAAGATCTATCTTCCTTCATATTGGCTTTGGTATTGGATAAGGCTACTTTTGTTGTATAAGAGATGGTAGATATATTGGAAGATCGAAAGATGTGGTAAGATGTAGAAGATTATGGTCCACAAATATAAGTGTACCCCAAGTACTTTCCCCAGTCGTGCACTTATGTATCTTGGTCTCGAACCAAAGTGATGAGATGTTCAGGTGTATATATAAGGAAGGTGCTTCTGAGTTTTGGAATTTGAAGAAGGGTATCGCGAAATGGTTCGTGCTTAAAATCCCCGATGAAGATGGAGCCAATATATTGACACTCGAGCTCTGAAAGTCTGGATAATTTCCCTGGTAGAGTTGCGGGGCGGATGGGTCACATATGTATAGTTGGAAATGAGGGGGCCCAGGAATAGTTTTATAAGTTTGTCTAGCAGTAGAAAAGCAAAATTGGGAGAACGGATGTAGTAGGAAAGATCCGAAAGGGGATAAATTTCGGTAAGTGCGAGAGAGCTTTTCGAACATATACACATTTGCATTCAATTCAGTCTGGCAGTTGCTTTGGTGCAAGAAATAGTCTAGATAATTGAAGCTAAATAAAAATTAGTTCCATGTCAATTCATGGTCTCTCAAAAGAACGGTACTAGTTTGGTTTCTCTAAAATCCGCATTATACATCGGATATCCCCAAGGATCAGGGGGGTTTTTTCTTGATTGCTCGTATAGGTAAAGTGTTGGTGGATTGATTAACAAAGTAGGTAAGTGGGTAAGTTTTCGATTTTGTAGATCTTTCGAAGAGGGGTGGCATGTACCTAGCGTCTAGTTCTGTTGCGGTGAAGACTCCAAACAAATAAAAAATAATTCTTTATCACCGATTACCTTCTTTCCGACTGACTGTGGATAAGTCTAGAATTCTCTTGCACAAATTTCTCACAATGTTTTCATCAACCCTACAAGAGATTATAGAGCTGCAAGTGGCGGTTTGAGGAATCCACGCCATTTTTTCATCATTGTACATGTATCTTTTCTTTTGCCGACGTTTTGCCTCACCAAGAGAATGATTGGTTGAGGAGGACTGGAAGGGTCTCTCCTCTTCAAAATAAGGTTTATGTTTCTTCGGGGGCCCATTTATCTTGGATTAGATTCGTACAAAGTACGTATGAACCTTCGAAGATGTATGAGGCCGATGCAAGTTCAAGCCACAAAATACCGATGCGTATCAATGTTTACGAGTTCAACAGGGTCCGAATCCCGACTGCTGAGTGACACTCGGCTATTAAACTACTGTCGCACACAATATGCGGTTGTGCCTTACATTGGTTAACAGGGTCATCGAGACAGGGCGAAGATTATTTTCCGAGGCTTTTTACGACGGAGGCACTTCCGCTCTTTCCTCGCCAATTATAATAGCCATCTTGTGCAAAAGAACATGTTTTTTCTGCTTTTGTTCCAAAAGGCTTCTCATGAATCTCATGATCTTCACCAGCTTATCTTTTCTTGTTACGAAACATAGTAGGATCGACTCTCTCTATAATGCTGCGGGGAGGGGGGACTTAACGTGCCTCGAGCGTGCTTGGTATTCAGTGCGGAAACCTGAAAGATATAAAGATCTACAATTAGTCAATATTTCTTCCAAGTCATCATTTACATAATCTCATTTTCCAGTTCACTACGGGATACGAATAGGAATTTATATAATAACTTCATATCTCCTTTTCTAAATGATGTGTATCTAATACTAGGTAGATTATGAAAGTCCAAGAAACTTGCTCAAAACTTCCTCCAGAAACTCGCATGTTTTAATGCCCACTAGCCATGTGGCAAAGCGTGAAGTGAAGACGTTTCATAAAAAATCCAACTTTTGTGGCTCTATCGGAACTGATACAATGACATTAGTATACTCACGGGTGTCAAATTGAAAGTTGGGTAACTGAGGTAGTACAACAGGGCCGAAAAAGGTATGCCACCTCGATGAATTCTTTCCGTTGTCAAGGTATTGCTCTCCCCGTTACTAGGGATCATTCTTCCCGAGCTTGACGAAACCACGCACAGTGTACAATTGGCTGGACAATTCAATTAGATGCTCATACCCCAACCTTATTTTCGTCTCGAACGGGTAATACTTCGTACTTAACCCCCAATCAGCTGAAGGGAATGGCCATTGAGCCCTACGACTACAATTAATGCTCTAATTCCAGAGTTAATTTTGGAATTTATAATATCGTTTAGGAATTCCAAGCCTACAAGGAGCTCGGCCTATCATCCGAAAAAGCAAAGCTCAGGCCATTAATTTTCACTGATTGTTAGTTTCTACTTGTTTTTCTCTCTTCTCAATATTTATAGTTAAAAAGTGCAAAGTGGTTATTGGTATTTAGATAGGTATTGATTAATTATACTCGAATCTGTAGTAATTCTGATCATTTAGCTGTTATTGGACAAGTTCAATGAAATAAAATTAGGCGAGACAAGCTCCCCAATTTTCATCCAGCCTTTATTGAACTTGTAATATCTACTTTCTTCCAATCAATAAGAACGCTTTACCAAAATACCTATCACGTATGAATTCCATGCTCGCATGAGGACTATTCCTCATCATGCTTCTTAAATTCAACTCCGGGGTTTCATAACCTAATCGGGTAATCCACATCACGCTGAAGATTTGGAAATCTACGTTCCTTTTCTCTTGGTTCTTGAACGCTACTGTAGTTAGCTTTCGAAAGAGTCTTGGGCTACGCATCATTTCAAAATGCTGCTTAGTACCATGAGCAAATTCCACACATTGCAATCGCCGGACCCAACACAAGGTATGGGCCCAAGAAATACCAAAAACAAATCGATTTAGAATCGTATTTTTCGAAGGGATCGCGATTATTTTTTTCATAGGTCTTAAGTCGATACCATTTCTTACATCGTCCGGCTTCCGTTATCAATCCGCCGATGCATGAGATCGCCGTAGGACTGTATTATAGTGATATGGGAGTCAACATGGAGTTCATGGGAAATAGACAGAAAAGCAATAAAGTTTTGCTGCTACTGTTTTCTCTTCTCTTCTCTTGACTACTCACTCGTAAATATGTTTCCTTATGAGCAAATATCACGATTTCCAGCCTCTGTTACATCAAGTTCAAAGCACATTTTTTAACTTTATAACCAGTGTACATTAAGTCAAAGTGAAAGTATACATGTCATTGTTCTCTACAACTGAATAATAAATCAGGTTTCTTGCTAGTACTTTTTGAATTTTTGGTGACATCTTCAATCGTTTTTCTTTCTGCTTTCCAAATTCTTCAATCTTCAGTCCTAAACCCCAGGAATTGTCTTGTTCCCATTTGCTCCAGTATTACATTCCATCTCAATTGCCCACAAGCAAGATCTACGGACCTTAAGATGGCTGCCAATAACGATGTTAATGGTGGTCTAAAAAATCATTTCATCGCTTTCCTGGGCGAATTCGTCGGAACATTTCTCTTCCTCTTTTTCGCTTATGGCGGAACGCAAACTGCCAATCAGACATCTCAAAGAAACCCATCGATAGTTGCAAGTCCTGATATAAATCAATTGCTTTACATTGCTTTGATTTTCGGCTTCAGTCTCACCGTCAACGTCTGGATCTTCTTTCGTGTTAGTGGAGGACTTTTTAACCCGGCTGTATGTATATCCACTTTGGTCTGGACATCCAGTCCCACAGTTCCATGCAACAGTTGCCACCGAGTATCAGCAATAGGCCCGAGCATAGAGTTTTCCGGAATTCGGGTGCTTGATGGAGCCGATTTACTACTTTGGTGGAGGAATCTTGCTAACTAATATATGCAGGTCACATTAGCTCTTTGCCTTGTAGGTGTGGTGGGTCCTGTCAGGTAAGTTCCTGACTAAACATCAACAATTTAGGGGTCCTCTCGTCTAGAATCCTGGTGGCAGTGTTGATTGATCCACCTATCTTGTACCATATGTTCATTAGCAAGTTCTAGACGATCACACACTCACTTATGTCAAACATTTAGATCTATTTTCATATTCATAGCCCAGGTTCTTGCCTCTATCACTGCTGCCGCCGCGGTTCGAGGCCTTCTTCCAGGAGACGCTGTACTCTTTAGTTGTGCACTGGCCTCCGGTACTTCCATTGCCCAAGGACTCTTCCTTGAGATGTTCTTCACTATCGAGCTAGTGTTTACCATTCTCATGTTAGCAGCCGAGAAAACTAAAGTCACCTTCGTGGCACCTGTGGGGATAGGACTCTCGCTCTTTGTTGCGGAGTTGATGGGCGTTGCTTGGACAGGTGGTGCTTTGAATCCAGCTAGAGCATTTGGCGCAGAGGTTATCGGAGGATTTAGGGGTTATCATTGGATTTACTGTGGGTTTTCTTGTTCACGGCTTAGTTCTGCGCCGGTTTCATGTACACTGCTGGATCCTTACCCTAGCTGCGTGAAACTATTTGGCGCACTATTACACTACTCACAAATGATCTCCTCTCTTTACCGAACTAACTTTTTCGTACAGGGTTAGGACCTTTCATGGGGGCGGTTCTCGCAGCGGGCTTCTACAAGGCAATCAAATTTCTCAACTATGAACAGGTAAACGGTGAACAAGATCTTTCCGCTGAAGAGATACAAATTAGAGATGAAAAGAAAGCTCGAAAGAAGGAAGAAAGGCGAAGAAAACAAAATTTTGCACATATTTTTCAACACGGGAGAATGCATCAACATCATGCAAATACCAGAAACGGAGGAGTAAATGCTGCAGATGATGGAAGACCCAATTCAGCACCTTCTTACACAGGGCCTCCGGCTGAGAACCACGCATGGCCGCATTCAGCAAGTACCATCAGGGAGAATGGAGATTTTTCGAGGTTTGCGGAGGTGGGAAGTCAGGATGGTATTGTGATTACACGAGAGCAACCGGCAGAACAGTATAGGCTAAGCGGAGAGAGATACGTTCAGGATGCTAATGCTCAGAATAGAGCCAAAACACCTTGAAACGGATGTTGGTTAGATGGGAAAGCTACGCAGTTGGAGAGTTCGTATGGAACTTGTTGTCGATAATCTCTCCAATTGTCGAATTACGCATATGTACGATATACTGGCATTGCATTTGCCTAGCATAGGCGCAAGCATGGGGAAACAGAACACGCACGCACACACACACAGTACAGAAATGGGAAACAGCAAGGCAGATCTTGGGCATCTGCACTTTCGCATGACTAGATGGCGTATAGCCGGAAGCATTCAAGCATTCAAGCATAGATTTAAAGAAAAAAATATTGTTTAGTTTTTATCATCCGATTTTATGAAATTTGGCAACGAGAAACCGAAATGTTCTTCTTTGCTTCTAGCTAGAGATTTATACCTGGTAGATTTATACCTGGTAGCTGCATAGACATGGGTTGGAATCAGGATAAGCATCGTTCCGTCTACCTGGTGAGATGTAACCCTGCTGTAATTTCCACAGGAAATAATTCGTCAGCCATGTCTTTCTCAACTTTCCGATTTCGCGCTTGATCATATTCTGGAGACCGAAAGATGGGTGTCTTAGATTCGCGCTCTTTTTAACGGAGGTATCCCCGCTTCCTACGATTTCTTGGCTCAAGGGTCCTTGGACTGTGCGACCACTCGTTGGATTTTCGATAACAATCCCGCCTCTCGAGGCGTGAGCTGAATGCATAGCCTGAATAGACTCTTCTAATTGTTTGGCGATCGTATATGTTTCTCAATGTAGACAATGTCACGTTAAATGTCCACTCCCACTTTTGAAGCTTGTCTGTCTAAAAGTGGGATACCCATCCACTATTCCCATTACCCCTCAAACCAATGGGTCAAACCGTAAAGTTAAATCCACAAACAGATATCGAAAGGTCTGTTCGATTAACTTGTCTAACATGCCTAAGCACCCTATGGTTCGCTGTCAGTACAGTAATGATACGTCGTTTATGTCTATCTTTATTACAGATTTATGCCGTTATGTTATCGCAAAGAAACTTAAATGTAACCCTATGGTCGATCTATCATATTGAAGTCTGTTAAAGATTGGTCCGATACTGTAGCACACATCTTTCTACAGTAGATGGGATTAGTGAACAGAATCTTGCTTGCATGGCACGCACACCGAGTACATATGTCATACCTACATGCTTGTTACATATTTCAACATTTCCAAAGTATTCCATGCATGCATACGGGACAATGCTATAACCGAGTGTTACCTGGCGTAATCAATCCGGAAAAGAGAAATCAGTGGATGATTGAAAAGGGTAATTCTGATCAGGATATGTTGGGGTTTATGTATGCGGTGGAACGATGTGACCTCAAGGTGTTCGCGCGGTCGTTCACCGTCTTTCTTTCATCACTGGGCGTTTGTACTGGACAGTTAATTTATTAAAGTTTTTCGAGCTGCTATCATTGCGTCATCTGATAATGTACTTTTTTCGAAAGCGCAAGTGAACCCTGCGAAGTTTTCCAGGAGGTATTGATGGGTGATTGATTGTTGTCAGATTATGGCATGATATCGACGTTTTTCATTGTCCTGTCCAGTAAGGGTGAGGGAGATGGTGTTTTTCATTTTAAATTGCCACGTTACGATTGTTATTGTTGTCATGAGCAGACGCAAGCTCAACCCCAAGTTCCTGTTTCGCGTGCTTGGAGGTTGACTACTGTTCAGATCATAAGGCAGGCAAACCAGCTTTCTCTAGCGACAACTGGCCAATGCCATAGTTGCTTCAAATGGTAGTCGTGAGGCCAGAATGAAGTGGGGAGGGGAAAGAGTAGTCTGGACTTGAGCATCGTCTCGAGGGGAAGTGTTACTTACTTCTATATCAACTACCATACTCTATTATCCACATATCTAAGCCCTACCCCCCCACCTACTACACTACCTCTACAATTTCAAGCAAAGCGAGTCTGACACATTCCCTTATCACGAAAAGCCAAGCTATCGCTAGATATGATTTACGGTTTTGTGGGCCATTCGTGCAATGATAGACGCTGGCAGTGCATACAGGGGGGTGTCTTTGGGATGTTGCGAATTTTTCAAACCGACAATTGATAAGCTAGGAAGAATAAATCTTCGAACAGATCTTTTCAGAATTCTATACTTTTCTCTCGTCTCTAGGACATCACACGAGTGTATGGTGGCAAGAACCAGCCATACAGTGGTAGAATTTTTGTTTAAGCGATAGTATTGAAAAAGTACCGTCTCACTGTCCCGCAATCTCACATAATAGTTGAGACCTCACAAGAAGGTCTTCAATCCTGTTTATCAATGCTGATCCCCAATATATGATCACATAGTATCCACCTCAGCATTTCTCTTCTGTGAATCATCTGTTTTGGCATCAAGGGGATCGTGGATAGAGAATGTTCATTTACCCTCGACCCTTGGAAAGTTTAAGGACATGATCCACTTGTTGGCGTTTGTTCTTGAGTTACTCATTTTAAACTTTACCGTTCATGCTGCTCTTATTCCTTCCACCTTAATACTTCTGCCACACTACTTTTTTGACATGAATATATGCGGTCTATAGTGAAAGATCGTGTAATTACTTCGTTCCGAGTTGAGAGAGAGATTGGCATATTACAAGATGTATATAACTGCGCGTCTTTTCGGGAGGCCGGCATTGACAGTGTTCTTGATGGAGCTGTTGAATTCCAGGCGTCGTCAGATACGCAACAGAATAAGTTATGCGCCTGATAATGACTTTTTGAAGTGCCGATGCTACTGTCATATCGTGATATGCAATATGCAGCTCATAAAGGTATACTCGAACTATTGTCGATGTTGAAATTGCCGAAAGCTCAAGAACTGGCCAATCTTTAAGCTTGAAGTTGTCAGAAGTGCTAATTTATAATACGTCAAATCGCTCTCATACCCCTCAAACCCTAAATAATTATTCTCATACTCTAAAATGGAAGACAATTTACTTTTATACTCATTGGGTTCTATAATAGAATCTATCTTAAATGGATAGAATCTAGCCATTTTAGGCTCGATTCTAGTCATTTATTATTAGATTTCGTTGGAAGATGATAGATTCTACAGTAGGAGGGTAAATTCTAGTCTGAAATGGCTAGATTCTATAATTGAAGGATGGTTTCTATAAACATGTTATTTTCCCTTTGAATTTTCCGGATTTTTCTTTTAATCTTGATTATTATAGGTTAGAATCTTCAATTTGAGATAGATCCTATTATAGAATATATATAGAATCCAAGAAGTATAAGGGTAAACCAAGTATGATTGTTAGGGTATAAGAGTAATTGTATGATGTTTGAGGGGCATGAGAGCAATTTGTCGATAATGCATGCAATATGATAGAGTATTAGAAATCATGCTGAAGCTAGTAATGTCAAAGGCACTCAGACGTGGAAACAATGAAGTACTGGAATCACTGTTGGAGCTAAGTATTACTAAGAGTCTTTGAACGTCTAGGTATACAATGAGCTTGCATCAGATTGATAATTTCAAGTGGAACCCAGTTCCTTTTCAACCCTTTACTCTGAAACTTTGTCACTGGATCAGTTGGTGATCCTAAAAGTACCGAGAGATAGACTGGGGATAAGTACTGGCTTTCTGAGAAGGGGATTGGTAACAGTTGAGTTAGCAGGGGAATAAAGTAGGTCTTTCATTAAGATGAATATAAACGTTAGTTGTAGGAGATGGGATTACAGTTAGCACTGTTTTGACTTGAGCGATGGCGGTTGTATGAATTTGTAATATCTATTGAGGCTGTGAAAAGGGGCAATAACGTAGTGAGTTTAAAAGAGATAATATTGTTGGGGGCGGGGGGGGGGAACCCCTTATAACGATTTCAAATGCTCAAAGTGACATGAGAACTTTAAAAGTTAGAGAATCTTGCCGGGACTATGAATTCCGGCCTCGTCATAAACCAAGTCTTCATCTGAAGCTATTATTGTGGAGTTTCCCATCGAAGCCATACTACTTGTACTTGAATTTGATTTTGTGTTTCTCCAAAAACTCATTATAGTATCTTATACGATGTGAATATACTCGCTCGCTATCATGTCTTTGGGGTTGAAATTGATTATTTAAGATTCGGGGTGAATAAGACTTAGCAAACGATTTACAAAGGATACGCAGAAAGGAGGAGGAAGCTTTCGAGGCCTGAATAGTTGAGCCATATCTGGTAGATGGAGCAGTGCGTTACACTCTTATCTATCCTCGGGGTTTTATAGCCCACTCCACAAAACCTGCCAACTTAATCTCAAACTCAATCGGAGCCCACTCTGTGTAACCTCGGTTACCTCGATTGAAATCCTGTATTCTTCCAAGCCTGAAATACTCTCCGAAACTTAAGGGAATATATGCTTTGCTAATTCTCTCAGCCATACACCTCCTCGATGAACTCGCCTTATACCAAACGAAAAAACTAATGCTGAAAATGATCTGGACTTAAGCTGAGTTAGCTGGGCCTGATAGGATAATCTTCCAAGCCTCAGCTGATCCAATTGCTAAATCTTCTAGCTGAATTCTCAAGCTTTGTGTTACGAATATACCAATCGGCGAATAACCAGCTCTGAATATCTCCGAACCCCTAGCCCCTGTGGCCCTACAAATTAAACTTTTCTGTTAGCGCTGTTCGAACTTTTCGAATGATTACATTGAACTTACAGAGACTAGGGATCAATATGGCAGGTGGGATATTAGTGGTATCATGGCCACGATCATAATGATGCGGATCACTTCTCCTAACCCTGCAAGCCGAATACCAAGATCTGCAATCTCGAATTCGCATAAGAACCAGATCATCTCCCAGAGTTGACTTTTTAATTACAGTTATACTTCAATCCGTACTTTGCATTTCTATTGGAACTCATGCTAGCCGCACACCAGCTCTATGATACTAAACGGCTTAATAGACCCCCCGCACTCTTTCGTTTAAATCGCGGCTTCAATTTTCGATCGACTGAATCATACGGTGTCTTCTGAGTAATTTTTTGAAACTTCTCGATAAAGTTGCAGCCGAATTGGATACAAAAAACGACATACGATTGTTCATAAGAGAATGGCAGATCAAGATCACGCAAATCTGAGGGGTGTATATGTCGTTTTGAACCACTAGTTCTTCTTCCTTATCTGAGCCTGCCCTAAGATTATTCGACCACGTTCAAATCAACTGCGATCTCATTTTATCCTCTTAAACCAACAGCTAGGTCACTCACTGAACCACTTACGGAGTCGTCAATCGAAGTATCCACGATCAAGTTCCATGGTCCTCTCAACATTCCAAAGAAGAGTCTGCTAGTTATCATCGAGTC